TGACCCCCAAGGTGACTCTTCTATACACTTCCTCCAAAACCCAGTCAGCAAAGAAGCGACCCAACCCATGATTTGATAAAGTGTGGGGTTAGCTATTGTCATAGGGCATGGTTGATGCTCGGTCTCCACCTCAGTTGACACACAGGGACATCCGTGAGGAGGAACTTCTCATCTGGGGAGTGGTGATCTCAAACAACCTCGAAGGTGACACATCTACACGTTTCCACCAAATCTTGGTCAGAAAAGAGTCAACTCAACAGAGACACGAGGAGAAAGCCTTGTGAGTAAATGATATATCTTAACCATTCATGATGTATACTATACACTTTGATTTATTAAAGTGTTCACTCTTTATATATTGATTGCAGTAGACCAATGAGGGATAAACCCAGACTGGTCCCAGGTTACCAACTTAGATATGGCTTTGGATAAGACTAGAGATGGAGATCTAGCAAGCATTTTAATATCTCTGGTTAGTAACAAAATTGGCCGGCATGAGTCTAGTTTGAAAGAAACCTGCTCAGATAGATTACATGCTGAGGAACACTCTTCATATATATTTATTGCAGTTGACCTTTGAGGGATAAACCCAGACTGGTCCCAGGTAACCAACTTAGATCTGGCTTTAGATAAGACTAGAGATGGAGGATCCAGCAACTACTTCAATACCTGTAGTAACCAAAAGGGGCCGGTACCAGTCTGGTGTGAAGGAATCCTGCTCAGATAGATCACATTCTGAGGAACACTCTTCATATATATATTGCAGTTGACCTTTGAGGGATAAACCCAGACTGGTCCAAAATTACCACCTTAGATATGACTTTAGATAAGACTAGAGATGGAGATCTAGCAAGTATTTCCATATATGTAGTAACCAAATGGTATATATATATGTTGCCCCAAATGGGCCAGTACAGGTCTGGTTTGAGAGAAACCTGCTCCGGTAGATATGCTGAGGAACATATATGTATATTTATTGCAGTTGATCTATGAGATAAACCAAGACTGATCCCAGGTTACCAACTTAGATACGACTAGAGGTGGAGATCTAGCATGTATTTTAATACCTGTGACTAGTAACAAATTGGGCCGGTACGAGCCTGGTTCAGAAGGGTCCTGCTCAGATACATCATACGCTAAGGACCATTTTTTGTATATGTATTGCAGTCGACCAACGAGGGATAAAGACCGACTGCTCCCAGGTTACCACCTTACATATGGCTTTAGATAAGACTAGAGATGGAGATCGAGCCGGTTTATTTAAAATCTATAGTAACAAAATGGGTTGGTACGAGGCTGGTTTGGGAAGAGCCTTCTCGGGCTTTGAGGTGACAACAATAGTAGCTTGATACATAGATGCAAGGAGGGCACCTAATAAAAGAGCTTCTGTGTGCGGGAAATGTGGAAGTAGAGGTAAAGAATATCTTATAGCCTTCCACAGGGAGGTCATCTACACCGGGAGTCATGTTTGCAGGTAAAGAGTTGAGGGCCTCAACTAGCTTATTAAGTCTAGGATCAGAGTCCAAGAGGTCTCAGTCTTCTGGTGTCAATTGAGAGTCCCTTAGAAGGATCGAGTTTCTGTCGCGGTGTTTTGAGTTATGGAAGCGTGAAGGTATTGATAGAAGGTCCGTCATACTATCCCCAGTGGAAGACTCATCACCAGTGTATATGCCTTGTATAACTAAAGGCACTCTGCCCAACACGGGAACCTGTTCGCTCTCGCGAAACGTTATCAATGATTTGACGTTCCAGAAAAGCGGCTTAACTCCCCCCAAGACCGGGCTGTTTGTAGTCATGCCGATCATCTTGTTTCAAGGGCCTCGGTTCATGGAGGAGATGGAGGGGAGTTTCTCTTGGGAGTATGTACTTCAGATGTCATCTGATGGTCTTCTGGTTGGAGACTGTGATGCAGGAATTCCCGGTGGAATGATATATGACTCTATGAACTCATCATTGGAGTATACTACACACTCCCCTCCCCCACCCAAGATTTATGAGACAGAGGAGAGCCGGCTCCTTCAACAAAAACACGAGAGTGAAACCCAAATATTTAATAATACAAGACCGAATACAAACAATAGAGCTCCCCGTCTCTTCATCCACACGCTATATCTACCTCCTCACTCAACATGATGTCTTCCTTGGAAGGGAGATCAGACTACACAGCTAGAGGGACTCAACCAGCAGTGACACCACCTCCCCCTCTCTCCTAGCAGAGGAAGCCACATCTTTGGGAACTTCCTAGTAAAGTGTTTCTTCTAGGACAAAGTTTAGAGGAGCCGTGTGTCTTCTGAGGTGTAGGTCAAGGTCTGGATTAGAAGACATTTCTCACACTCGGGACGCTAATGAACTTGGAGGATTGAGTGGGACCTCTGGTGTCGGGAAAGATTAGATTTCTGAATAAAACTTTTCCCGCACTCAGGGCAGGAATACGGCTTTTCCCCTGTGTGCGTTCTCTGATGTCTGTAAAGATGGACCTTCTGTGAAAAACATTGCCCACACTCAGGGCAGGAATACGGCTTCTCCCCCGTGTGAGATCTTTGATGGATAACAAGTTCTGATTTTTGCGGATAACCCTTCCCGCACTCAGAGCAAACATATGGCTTCTCGCCTGTGTGCAATCTCTGGTGTCTAGAAAGCTTGGCCTTATCTGAAAAACATTTCCCACACTCAAGGCAGGAATACGGCTTCTCCCCAGTGTGCAACCTCTGATGTCTATCTAGTAGCGATTTCTGTGTGTAACTTTTCCCGCACTCGGAGCAGGAATACGGCTTCTCGCCCACATGATCTTTAAGGTGTTTGGTAAGGTTGCCCTTCTGTGAAAAACGTTTCCCGCACTCATGGCAGGAGTAGAACTTCTCTCCTGTGTGAATTTTCTGATGAGTGTAGAGATGGGACTTCTCTTTAAAACATTTTTCACACTCAGGGCAGGAATACAACTTCTCCTCTGTGTGAGTTCTCTGATGTGCATAGAGATGGAACCTCTCCTTAAAACATTTCCCGCAGCCAGAGCAGGAATACGGCTTTTCCCCAGTGTGAGATCTTTGGTGTCTGACTTCTAGTGATTTTGTTGCAAAACTTTTCCCACACAGAGAACAGGAATATGGCTTCTCGCCTGTGTGACATCTTAGATGTGTGACAACTAGTGCTCGAGTAGAAAAACTCTTCCCGCACTCGGAGCAGGGATACGGCTTCTCCCCTGTGTGAGATCTTTGATGTCTGACAACAAGTGATCTTGTCGCAAAACACTTCCCGCAGTAAGAGCAGGAATGCGGCTTCTGCCCCTGAATTCCGGCACCTTCACCCACAGGACGAGGTCGCTCAGAGTCAGAGGGACTCCATGGTCTCTCCACACTGTGAAGTCCACCATCCATAGCTGAGCTCATTGTCTCTTCTCCCGCACAATGTGCTGTGATGTCCTCATCTTCCATCTTACAACCTGGAGATAAAGTCAGACGATCCTTTGAGGGTTCCTCCATGGCGTGTCCTGGAAACATAGAGACACATGATGGAGAGATATGAGAGGGTTAGAGGACTTCACTCAACATTCCATCTGGATCAGGAGGTCTGAGGGAGCAGATGTTCTATGAGGAGGTCCCAACCAGCCGGGACTCCTCCCCTCTTCACTCAACATTCCATCTGGATCAGGAGGTCTGAGGGAGCAGATGTTCTATGAGGAGGTCCCGACCAGCCAAGACTCCTCCCCTCTTCAGTCAAAGGGCCTCCTCCTAGATCACTTCTACATTGACACAGCCTTGTCAGAAGAGGAGGAGCCAACTGGGAGGAGCATGTACTTCACCACACCACAAGCCTAGGCAGTGGGTCATGTGATCTCTGAGAAACAAGAAGATCAGAGTATAGACTGGCAGTCCCTCCTTCCAGATAACCGAAGAATATATTATGACCCACCTGTGCTGATCTCTGTAGGCGTGTCCTCCTCTATGGACGTCCTCCTCATCCCGGCCTCCTCTGTATATCGCTGATCATCCCTCACATACTCTGGTGGGTTCCTGTTACTACGTACCTTCATCATAATGTCCATGTGTCCTTCAGAAGGTTCCGTCATCACACCGTACTCCTCATCCTCCTCTTTAATCTCTTCTTTAACAACAATATTATCATCCCCGAGGATTCCATTCTGAATATATAAAACATTTATTATAACAAACACGCTTGTATATAAATTATAACTATCAGAGATTGTTAATCATCTACCTGATCATGGTGGGGGATGGTGAGATCTTCCTGGGTGGAGTCCCGGGAATACAGGGGGCGGGGACATCTCTCTGGTGGGTTCCTCTTACTGGATCCATCTGTAGGAAACACACACACTGACTGAATACATTGTTTCTATGTGTGTATCAGATGATGGGGGATGTAGGCGGAGCCTCCGTACTGCTCTCTCCTCTTACCCGGTGATGTGAGGGGCGGGGCATTCTCCATCACCACGTCCTTGTAGAGATCCCGGTGTCCTTCTAGATACTCCCACTCCTCCATGGAGAGATAGACAGAGACATCCTGACACCTTATAGGAACCTGACACACACAATGATACGGTCACTATCAAGCCAGGGGGGGCATGAGCGCCATGTTAAAGGAAGAGACAAGGCAGTGTTTATTGTGAAACTCTGTATTATGTCAGAGACAAGAGCCACAAATATTGCACAGACACGCTGCACACCGTGTAAGCCTTTTTACTAGGCTGCAATGGAAGACGGAGACACCAGACAAAGTTTTTATTATCAAATAAAAAGAGTATTATTGCAGAGGCAAGAGCCAGAAATACTGGACAGACTCAATGCACACTATGTAAGCAGTTTTAGTAGGCCGCAACTGAAGCTGGAGAGACAAGCTACTTTTTTTTTTTATCGAGACATAAAACTTATACAGTATCATGTCAGAGATAAGAGCCAAAAATATTGCACAGACTTGATGCACAGCGTTCCAGCCTTTTTACTAGACCACAATTTAAGAGGTAGAGCTCAAGAAGGTTTCATTGGAGAGAGAACAGGCAGAAATATTGCGCAGACATGGTGTGCAGCATGTAGGCCTTTTAACCAAACCAACATTGGAAAGGGAGAGACCAGATAGCTTTTACCTTGAAATAGAAATTAGAGTGTATTATATTATAGAAAAACTTAGAAATAGAGTACAGATTCTGTGCACAGAATGTAAGCCTTTTTACTAGGACACAATTTAAAATGGAGAGACAAGGCAGGTTTCATTGTGAAAATAAAACTTGGAGTGTATTATTTCAGAGACGAAAGGCAGAAATATTGTACAGACTCAATGCGCACTATGTAGGCAGCTTTAGTAGGCAGCAATATAAAACGGGAGAGATGAGCCATTTTCTATCAACAAATGGCTGTATATTGTTTCAGAGATAACAGCCAGAAATATTGCACAGACTTGTTGTGCAGCATGTGAGACTTTTTTTATGCTGTCGTCACACACACACACACAACCTTTCCTGGCATGGGGCGCAGCCACCTCTGGGCCTGTCAGTTGACAGAATGTCTACCCCAGTCTGGAACCTGTCCCCTGGGCCTACCAGGTTAAAAGCAGCGTGGGAGGTGTTTTTTCCCGGGTCCTTGGGTATCTGCTCGGTTGCTTGTCGGGGACTGGTGGTTCCGTTTGGTCACTGGATGAGGCCATTGAAGAGGAGGAGGCATAGATGACTGACCCGTTAACATCGCCAAGTCGCAAGACATGGGAGGGGAACCGGTATGTTATTTGAGAGATGACAGCCAGAAATATTGCGCAGGCTTGTTGTGCAGCCTGTAGGACTTTTTTGGTGCCGCCCCAATGGGGCATAGAATATGTTACTACATTAATGTTAGGTAGAAGTTTTATATAGAGTGTTTTCCCTATCCATTTTCCTATGGCTATTCTATATTTAGTTATATGCTGCCATCTAGTGGCCTTTTGTGATAACACACCGGTTTTTCTGTAATCCTTTCCTTATGTGATGACACATTTCCTCTGTATGTATGCCCCTCCCTTCTTCTCGTTGGTCAGTATTTCCTGTGTCATGGCCACAGCTAACAAGCCACATGTAACTAGGACGCGTGTATTCTGCACAGTACGCTAGGAAAGGCATCATCTTTTGACCGCATAATACTGAAAACCATCCATCTGCTGTATCCTGTTGTCTGATGTGCAGAATAAAGCAATCTCTGTGGATGAAACGGTATTGGTGAGTTCAGCTATCTGACAAGGAATGTCCTCAGTGATTGAATCTACTTATACAGGCCTAGGCATAGAGGTCTCACAAGGGATACGTCGCTATCACAACAATCGGAGCCAGAATAATGCCGTTGTCACGCACACGACGACCTTTCCTGGCACAAGATGGCATAGGGTCAGCCAATACAAACAGCATGTAAGCCTTATTACTTGGACACGTTTTAAGAGGGAGAGACAAGGTTTTAGAGTGTGTTGTTTCAGAGACAAAAGCCAGAAATGCTGCACAGAATCATTGAGCACAATAGCCCACCGCACTGCAATTCACTACAATGTGGCGCTGGAACTATGCAGCTCTGAATGTCAGCTGTCCCTATCCACACCAACTCAAGGTGGATGGGACCACTAAAGGGAGGGGGCGGCACATTTCCAAACCCCTAACATTGGCCAGACTATGCCAACTGACCATAGTTCTTGGAATGCATTATGGGGGGTTCGCTTTTGGCGCCGGGATGAACGAACCCCTAAATTTGCCATTTGAGTCAAATTGTGCATCGTCCGGAACCTCATCCCTCATTGTAGCCCGGGATAGAGAAGGACGGAAGGGGTCCCGGAGGGGACACTTTTAGAAGAAAGTCACACAGTAATGATCTCTGAATGAAGGAAGAAGTTAAACGTTGGACCATAAATGGCGGCTCTAGATGGACAGTTGGATAAATGGTTCTATATTTAGGATGTATCCAGTCTATAAATGGCGGCTCTAGATGGACAGTTGGATAAATGGCTCTATATTTAGGATGTATCTGGTGTATAAATGGCGGCTCTGGGTGGACGGTTGGATAAATGCCGGAGATAAAAGAGGTCACAGTGACTATGGAGGACGGAGATGACGGGGGGAGGGGTTACTGGGTGTATATATAATATAATATCTTCTCACCTCCTCTGCTGCCAGTTCCAGCAATGTCTCCTCTCTACTTCCTCCTGACTCACCTCTCACCCGGAACTTCCTATTTATATCTGACATCACTTCCTGTCTGCATTCCATAGAGACTTCCTGTCTGGGTATAGGTGAGTTCACCATCTTGTGGAGCTCAGAAGAACTGCAGCCCCGAGAAACACCTCGTAGTGTGACCACAACCTTGTGCTGTGTGTGTGTATGTTCTGGAGCTCCTTATAGATGGGTCATCTCCTCCCCCCAACCAGGTGGACCTAATATTGAGTAGGTCCCCCTTCTCCTGACTCGTCCAGGCATGGACTCCACTAGACCTCTGAAGGTGTGCTGTGGTATCTGGATGATCCCCCTAATATTGAGGAGGTCCCCCTTCTCCTGACCCATCCAGGCATGGACTCCACTAGACCTCTGAAGGTGTGCTGTGGTATCTGGATGACCCCCCTAATATTGAGCAGGTCCCCCTTCTCCTGACTCGTCCAGGCATGGACTCCACTAGACCTCTGAAGGTGTGCTGTGGTATCTGGATGACCCCCCTAATATTGAGGAGGTCCCCCTTCTCCTGACCTGTCCAGGCATGGACTCCACTAGACCTCTGAAGGTGTGCTGTGGTATCTGGATGACCCCCCTAATATTGAGGAGGTCCCCCTTCTCCTGACCCATCCAAGCATGGACTCCACTAGACCTCTGAAGGTGTGCTGTGGTATCTGGCACCGAGCCGTCAGCAGCAGATCCTGTAAGTTGTGAGGTGATCGGCCTCCATGGATCGGACTTGTTTTTCCAGCACATCCCACAGATGATCGATTGGATTGAGATCTGGATAATTTGGAGGCGGAGTCATCACCTCGGACTCATTGTTGTGTTCCCTCCCCCCGTCCATCAATGAGAGTTCCCTCCCCCCGTCCATCAATGAGCCTTCCCTCCCCTCCCCACGTCCATCAATGAGCCTTCCCTCCCCACGTCCATCAATGAGCCTTCCCTCCCCACGTCCATCAATGAGCCTTCCCTCCCCACGTCCATCAATGAGCCTTCCCTCCCCACGTCCATCAATGAGCCTTCCCTCCCCACGTCCATCAATGAGCCTTCCCTCCCCACGTCCATCAATGAGCCTTCCCTCCCCACGTCCATCAATGAGCCTTCCCTCCCCACGTCCATCAATGAGCCTTCCCTCCCCACGTCCATCAATGAGCCTTCCCTCCCCACGTCCATCAATGAGCCTTCCCTCCCCACGTCCATCAATGAGCCTTCCCTCCCCACGTCCATCAATGAGCCTTCCCTCCCCACGTCCATCAATGAGCCTTCCCTCCCCACGTCCATCAATGAGCCTTCCCTCCCCACGTCCATCAATGAGCCTTCCCTCCCCACGTCCATCAATGAGCCTTCCCTCCCCACGTCCATCAATGAGCCTTCCCTCCCCACGTCCATCAATGAGCCTTCCCTCCCCACGTCCATCAATGAGCCTTCCCTCCCCACCTCCATCAATGAGCCTTCCCTCCCCCCGTCCATCAATGAGCCTTCCCTCCCCACCTCCATCAATGCGCCTTTCCTCCTCACCTCCATCAATGAGTCTTCCCTCCCCACGTCCATCAATGAGCCTTCCCTCCCCACGTTCATCAATGAGCCTTCCCTCCCCACCTCCATCAATGAGCCTTCCCTCCCCACATCCATCAATGAGCCTTTCCTCCCCCCACGTCCATCAATGAGACTTCCCTCCCCACCTCCATCAATGAGTCTTCCCTCCCCACGTCCATCAATGAGCCTTCCCTCCCCACGTCCATCAATGAGTCTTCCCTCCCCACGTCCATCAATGAGCCTTCCCTCCCCACGTCCATCAATGAGCCTTCCCTCCCCACGTCCATCAATGAGCCTTGGCTGCCAATGACCCTGTCACCGGTTCTCCTTCCTAGGACCACTTTTGGTTGGCTCTGACCACTGCAGACCAGGAACATCCCACAAGAGCTTGGTCCTTGTCAAAGTCCCTCAAATCCTTATTACCGTGTCACTTTAATGTATCCCCCACTTCCAGGTGCCATTGTAACTCAGAATGTTATGGAGAGCTTTTACAAGGTGCTCTTGGTCAGATTGACCTTTAACCTGGCCTGTCTCTGGCCTGACCCGTCTGTCTCTATTCTGGGGATATTCAGGCTGGAGACAATTTAGGAGACAATGGAATGTTTTTTTCTTACCACGGTGGAGCTCTCTGTAAATAATCTGCCGAAGAGAAGTTGTAGAACTTTGTAGAAGGTCCATCACCGTCTTCCTGTGAGTCTCATGTGGATGAGGAGTCCATGTTCTGCTCTTCATGACCTCATCCATGAGGAGAAACCTCTCACCTGGGGAGTGATGGCCACAAACAAGCCCCTAAGGTGACACATCTACACATTTCTTCCAAAACCTGGTCAGCAAAGAAGCGACCCAACCCATGTGGGGTCATTTATCATCATAGGGCATGGTTGAAGCTCAGTCTCCACCTCAGCTGAAGGAGATCCATGAGGAGGAACTTCTCATCTGGGGAGTCATGGTCACACGTGACCCCTAAGGTGACACGTCTGCACACGTCCTCCAAAACCTGGTCACCAAAGAAGAGACCCAACCCATGATTTGCTGAAGTGTGGGGTAATTTACTGCCATAGGGCATGGTTGATGCTCGGTTTCCACCTCAGTTGAAGGACATCCATAAGGAGGAACTTCTCATCTGGGGAGTCATCGTCACACAAGACCCCTAAGGTGACACATCTACACACGTCCTCCAAACCCTGGTCAGCATAGAGTCAACTCAACAGAGACACGAGGAGAACGTCTTGCGAGTCAAGACCTTACCCAACCCAATGACTGAAATATCCTAAACGGTCATGATACACACGAGGAACGTTGGTTTATCAAAGTGTTCATTGGATTACCGTCCCGGGGCTTGGGTTCATGTTAGGCCTCACCCTACATGGAGGCATATGGACGAAGAATTGGGAGTATGTACTTTAGAAGTCATCTGATGGTCGTGAGGTTGGAGATAGCGATGGAGGAATTCCGGGTGGAATGATATACGGCTCTATGAACTTATCTGATGACCTTATCACTAGAGTACACTACAGCCCCTCCCCCAGTCCGGTCCTTCAACAAGTACAAAGCAAAAACACAACCATGAATCTAAAAACAACAAATATTTAATAATACAAATGTGAAGGCTATATAGACCCCCCCTTCATCCACAAGTCATATCTAGCTCCTCTCTCACCATGATGTCTTCCTTCAAAGGGAGTTTAGACTACACTGCTAGAGGGACTCAACCAGCCGTCACACCCCCTCTCTTCTAGAAGGGAAGGCCAGACAAAACTTTGTGAAATTCCTACAAAAGTGATTCTTACAAAGTTTAGAGGAATCTCAGCCCTAGGTTTTCTGAGGTGTAGGTCAAGGTCTGTTATAGAGAACATTCCTCACACTTGGGACACTATTGCGACTCAGGGTTTTTGTGGGACATCTGGTGTCTGGAAACATTAGATTTCCGAGTAAAACATTTCCCGCACTCTGGGCAGGAATACGGCTTTTCCCCGGTGTGTATTCTCTGATGACTGTAAAGATGGATCTTCTGTGAGAAACATTTCCCACACTCATTGCAGGAATACGGCTTCTCCCCTGTGTGAGTTCTTTGATGGATAACAAGTTCTGATTTCTGTGGATAACACTTCCCGCACTCGGAGCAAACATATGGCTTCTCGCCTGTGTGCAATCTCTGATGCCTCATAAGCTTAGCCCTATCTGAAAAACATTTCCCACACTCAGGGCAGGAATACGGCTTTTCCCCAGTGTGCAACCTCTGATGTCTATCTAGTAGCGATTTCTGTGCGTAACTTTTCCCGCACTCAGAGCAGGAGTGCGGCTTCTCGCCCGCATGATCTTTAAGGTGTTTGGTAAGATTGCACTTCTGTAAAAAACATCTCCCGCACTCAGGGCAGGAAAACGACTTTTCCCCTATGTGAATTTTCTGATGAGTGTAGAGATGGGACTTCTCTTTAAAAAACTTCCCACACTCAGGGCAGGAATACGACTTCTCCTCTGTGTGAGTTCTCTGGTGAGCGTAAAGATGGGACTTCTCCTTAAAGCATTTCCCGCACTCAGAGCATGGATATGGCTTTTCACCAGTGTGATGTCTTTGATGTCTGAATACCAGTGATTTTGATGCAAAGCTTTTCCCGCATTGAGGACAGGAGTACGGTTTCTCCCCTGTGTGACATCTTAGATGTATGACAACTAGAGATTTCGTTGGAAAACATTTCCCGCACTCGGAGCAGGCATACGGTTTTGCCTTTGTGTGAGTTCTTTGATGTCTGACAAGGAGCGATCTTGTTTGAAAACACTTCCCGCAGTAAGAGCAGGAATGCGGCATCTCCCCCTGAATTCCGACACCTTCACCCACAGGACGAGGTCGCTCAGAGTCAGAGGGACTCCATGGTCTCTCCGCACTGTGACGTCCACCATCCATAGCTGAGCTCATTGTCTCTTCTCCCGCACAATCTGCTGTGATGTCCTCATCTTCCATCTTACAACCTGGAGATAAAGTCAGACGATCCTTTGAGGGTTCCTCCATGGCGTGTCCTGGAAACATAGAGACACATGATGGAGAGATATGAGAGGGTTAGATGACTCCACTCAACATTCCATCTGGATCAGCAGGTCTGAGGGAGCGGATGTTCTATGAGGAGGTCCCAACCAGCCGGGACTCCTCCCCTCTTCACTCAACATTCCATCTGGATCAGGGGGTCTGAGGGAGCAGATGTTCTATGAGGAGCTCTTCAGCTCTTCAGTCAAAGGGCCTCCTCCCAGATCACTTCTACATTGACACAGCTTTGTCAGAAGAGGCGGAGCCAATGGTGACTGGGAGGAGCATGCTCTTCATCCAACCACAAGCCTAGGCACTGGGTCATGTGATCCCTGATCAACAAGAGCTTTAAACTTCAGACCTGTAGACCCTTCACCATAGAAGTGATCATAGACCGAGGCTTCTGGTGTGTAGATAGGTCTTTCACTCATTATGTTCCTCCTTACGTTCCAACCCAACAAGACCGTTCCAGGATAGGGGTCTGGTATTGATTTTGAGGGGGACCCCATGTTGTTCCCCCTCCCCCCAATTTTAACCTTTGCTTGTGTACATCGTACAGATGAGCCACTTCACAGGGAGGATTGTGTGCTGGAAGAAGAGTAACCAACCTAAGAAAGGATCAGTCTGGGTTCTCATATCTGAGCTACGGGAACTAGGAGTGAAACCCAACCTCATACAGCCAGCTGAACCTCCAGAACGGGTATCAGTACAGGGAGGTGACCATTATCAACCTCCTATTGGCTGATATCACTCAGCTCCGCCCCACTCTGGACCAATCTGTGTGCAGGAACAGAGCAGAGATAACAGAAGAACATATTATGACCCACCTGTGCCGATCTCTGTGGGGGTGTCCTCCCCTTTGACTGTCCTCACCACTCCATCCTCTTCTATGATTATCTTCATAATTCCAGCCTCCTCCGTATCATCCTTGCAGAGATCCCGGTGTCCTCCCGAGCACTCCGTCGCCCCGTACTCCTCATACTCTTCTTTAACAACAATGTTATAATCCCCGAGGTCTCCACTCTGAATGTGAATGAAAACTTTAATGGCGACAAACATGATCGAGTATAAATCAGAACTATCAGAGGTTGGTGACCACCTACCTGATCATGGTGGGGGATGGTGAGATCTTCCTGGATGGGATCCCGGGAATACAGGGGGCGGGGACATCTCTCATGGTGGGGGATGGTGAGATCTTCCTGGGTGGGATCCCGGGAATACAGGGGGCGGGGACATCTCTCATGGTGGGGGA